GGCGCTTCGAGCTGCGCGGCCGCGAGGAGGCGCTGCGCCTGGAACAGGAGGCCTTCGGGGCGGCGGACGGCAAAGGTGAGCGGGGCGGGGCTGCCCTGAGCGGGGCCACCTGGTGGAGGGACTGCGGGGCGGGGCTTCCGGGGGTGGGGCCGGGGTACCGCCCCGCGGGGACTCGGGCGGGAGCTCTCTAGGGGCAGGGCCGGGGCTGGAGCTGGTCTGGTGGAGGGTGGAGCTGGATCGCGGCTGAGGTCAGTCAGGTGGGCGGGGACAGACGGGCGGGTCCGAGAATTAGGTGAGGCCTGTTGGTTGAACGGCTTTATGGGGCGGGGCTTGGGGCTACGGGAGGCGTGGCCCGGTTGGTCTTTGCTGGAGGCGTCCTAAAGTAGCTCCGGTCCGGGACGCGGTCCTTAGCAGGGCTTTCAGGCTGCCTTGAAGGAGGCTGAATGTGTTGTGAGTCTAAGAAGAGTAGATGCTCAGGCCTGCACCTGTGGGATTTGGGAGCTGGGGGAGCCTGTGCGACAGGCAGGAATTTATAGGGTGTGGGGTTTCTGCTTGTGTGTTCATGGAAATGGAAAATGAAAAAAAAAAAAGAAAAAAAAAGAAATTGAAAATGGAAGAATTAGGAGCTGGAGAAACAGGCATGGACGATGTCCGAGTGATGTGCAGAGAGTAACGGGCAAGGGGGGACTTGATGTTGGGCCCGGTGATGTGTAGTGGCACGTGGAACGTGGGGTCTGAGGATGTCCCCGCACGGGGCGTGGCCTATGTGGGTGGAGCCTGGGAAGGGGCGGGACCTGCAGGAAGAGAAAATTGCCTCCAGGTCTTGAGGGCCTGAGTGGGCGGAGCCTCCGATGGGCAGGCCTGGGAGCAGGCAACCTTGGGCTAGAGGAAGAGGGTTTTTTGTTTTGTTTTTTCACTTTTATTAGTACACATTTGCAGTACATAATGATTACATCCATCATGGGAGTTGGTACATGTACACAGCACATCCTAATTCTTTTTACTTCCCCTCTCCTCCCTGCCCCTCCCCTATCTCTTGGAGGAAGAGGAGGTGGCATCAAAGGTGAAATAGCAAGGGCAGGATGGAGCTTGGCAGGGCTGGGGCCTGGTGAGCCGAGGCCCGGGGCTGCTCAGGGAGCCCTCGAACTGCTTTTCTCTTTCTAAATCTCCCTTGGGCAGAGAAGGCATTGTAACAAAAACGATGGACTTTGAAGTCGGGCTTGGATTCCAACCCATTCTTTGCCTGTTAATCTTAGCACAGCGCTGGGCGAAGGTTCAGGGTGCTCATGTACATTAAGGGCTGGGCATATTTAGTGCTTACTAACAAGTAGCAACAGAACCACCATCTCCCCCCAAGCATTCACTGAGCACCTACTGTGGGCCCCACATTTTTAGGGCCCTGGGGATACAGTGGGGCATGGACAAGTGAGGTTCCCACTTTCCCAGATCTCACAAGCTTAATGGGAATCAGCAGTTTACTCATTAAGATTATTTCCACCGGACACCTACTATGTGGCTGGGTCCAGACAAACCCAGTTTGGGGCCTTGGTACAGTTACTTGCTTCGACTTGGACTGTCGGGGAAGGGTGTTCAGAGGAGATTGTTTCCATCTCCCTCAGCCCTCAGCACATAGTAGGTGTCTAGGAAATGCTTAAGAGAACGAATGAATTTCTGAGCTCAAAACTGCAAGGTGGGTGGAAGTCAGACAGAAAGTGTGTTCCAGGCACAGGGAACAGCATCTGCAAAGCCTAAGGGTGGGAAGCGGCCTCACCTCTCCGTGGCCCCTTCGGTGGCCTGATGATCTCAGCCGCGTCTCTCCATCTGTCATTCCTGTCTCAGTGTTGCTGTCTCCATCTCTCTCCGCAGGCACGGGCGCCCCCTCCTGGCGGCCTCAGAAAAGCCGCTCCCGGGCCGCATCTGGAGGGGCGGCGCTGGCCAGTCCTGGTCCAGGGTCGGGATCAGGAGCACCGGCTGGGTCCGGGGGCAAGGAGCGCTCGGAAAACTTGTCCCTGCGGCGCAGCGTATCGGAGCTTAACCTGCAGGGTCGGCGTCGGCGGCAGCAGGAACGCAGGCAGCAGGCGCTTAGCATGGCCCCTGGGGCAGCTGATGCCCAAATGGGACCTGGAGACCCCGGAGATCTCGATCAGCTATCTCAGTGCCTCATCCAGGCCCCTAGCAACCATCCCTACTTCCTGCTGCTCCAGGGCTACCAGGACGCTCAGGTTAGCGCCGTCTTCCCTACCTGGAGTTCTCTGTGCCCCATGTCTTTGGAGAGCAACAAACTACGACTCCCAGAATTCCTCTGGTCCCAGGGGCCTCAGGTACTCTGGTAGGTGTGGTCCAGCAAGGTTCTAGAGTAGCAAATAACTTGGTGAAAGTAGAGGAGGTTGGAGTCAGATGGTTGAGAAAGATTCCACGGGAGGAGCTGAGTATGATAGTGCAGGCCTGTAATCCAAGCACTTTGGGAGGCTGAGGCAGGAGAACTGCAAATTTGAGCCCCGCCTGGGGAGAAAAAAAATTCCACTGGAGGGACAAACACGGAATGGTTCATTTCATTCAAAGTTGGAAGAAAACACTGTTCCTCAAGGGAGAGTCAGCCCGCTGTGGAAAAGACATTCTTTCCAAGCATCCATTTCTTGAGGGAGAGGAGAAAAGAGTGCATCTATTAAGACAGGGAAGTCAGTTGATGCCTGGGATCTTGTTCTGGATAAGCCTATACGGTATTTTCTTGATGGGAGTGAGGACTACTTCACTTGTAAAAGATGACAGTTTACACTGGAACGACTCAACCATTGTTGATGGAAGCAGGTGGTACTGATACTTCTAAATATTTTTCATATTTGGGTGATAATGGGAGTACTGGAGCATTGGATTTATTTTAGGAAGAGGGTCAGGCAGTGCTTCCATTTTTACAGGATGGAGGTGGGAGAGTCCATTGTTAGGAAGGGGTCTTCTGCATGCATCTCTTCATTTAGTGGATGAACCAGGACTCTGTAAGAAGGGGTCTCCTTGAAGCATCTATTTATAAATGGAATTGTTAGAAGAGCTGAGGGAAATGGAGATCTCTGTGGAGATGTCCGCTTGGGGGATGGTAATACTCAGAGCTCTTGTTGACTGAGGGGCAGTCCTTGGAATCCTCCATCGTGAGAGTGGGGGGAAAGTGAATCCGTTGTAGAAGGATGTCTCCTGGGAGGTGAGCTCATCTTGGGATGGGACTAAGTGACAGTCCACTGGGGTTTTCTTGGACTGCTGCGTCCACGGGAGTGAAGAAAAATGGAAGAGCCTTCTGATCAGAGGGGGACTCTGAAGAAATCCATCCCGTGATTTGAGATGTTGAGAAACTGTTACTTGAAGGGAAATGTATTTGGAAGCCTCCATGATGGGGAGGAATCAAGGACAGATAAGCCAGAGAAATGCAGAACGGTTTCTTGGAAAGGTCCATTCTTGGACGGTGTAGGTGATGGATGTCCTTGGAAGCCCCGTCCCTTGGGCTGCATGGCGGGGGAGAGTCCACTGTAGGAGTGGCAGAGTCCCTTCAGGAGTGTTGATAAGATGGGAGAGTCCACTGAAGATCCTGGAAGCAGCTGTTCTTTGAGGGAGGAACGTGGAGGGGTCCGCATCACGGAAGGGTTTCCTTACACACGGGGTCTTTGGGATGCACGTCATGGGAGCACCTACCACAGAAAGTGACTTGGAAGAGTCCACTCATGGGAGGCAGGGTGTGCGGAGTCTTAGGGGAAGCCTGAAGATCTCCTTGCAAATGTCCACTCATGGGAGGTGGGGTCGGGAGAGCTGACCGTGGAAGAGGGATCTGCTGGGCATCGGTGTCCTCAGCGCCATCTTTACTTCTCCTCCAGGACTTCGTGGTGTACGTGATGACGCGGGAGCAGCACGTGTTCGGCCGGGGCAGGACCCCGTCGTCCTGCAGCGGGTCCCCTGCCCCATACGTGGACACCTTCCTCAACGCCCCTGACATCCTGCCGTGTCACTGCACAGTGCGCGCGGGCCCTGAGCCCCCAGCCGTGGTGCGCCCATCCAGGGGCGCCCCAGTTACGCACAACGGGTGCCTCTTGCTGCGGGAGGCCGAGCTGCACCCCGGCGACCTGCTGGGGCTGGGCGAGCACTTCCTGTTCATGTACAAGGACCCGCGCGCCGGGGGCTCCGGGCCGGTTCGGCCCCCGTGGCTGCCCGCGCGGCCCGGGGCCACGCCTCCC